CCCTAAACCCTAACACCCTAAACCGAAGGAGCTCCGCAGCTATGAGAGCACCAGGGAGAAGCTTGAAACCCAGGTGCAACGGCCTTTTTGTCCCCAAGTCCCATATGATGGGATTAGAAGGTTTAGGGTTTAGGGATTATAGGGTTTAGGGTTTAGGGGGTCCAAGCCTCGAATAATAAGGTTTTAGGGCCCAAATACTATAATATTAATGGTCTTTGGGCCCTAAGACCTTATGATTTCGGTCCTTGGACCCTTAGGGCAATAAAGGTTTAGGGATTGGAGTAAAATTATTATGTGGTGTTTAGAAAAGATGGGGTTTAGAAGTTAAGGTTTAGGCTAAGTTTAGGCGTATAGGGGTAAGGTCTCAGAGGCTAAGGGTTTTGGGCTTGCGAGAGTCTATATAGGGCGAAAATTGGTGAAAGTACATATAAGGAGATTGGCTGTCCAGTTGCAGAGACCATAGATTCAACAAAGAAGCATAAGGTAGTCAAGCTCCCAAACCCTAAACCCGCGGTTTGCTTATATCGGGGGTTCAGGGATTATGTAGCAGGCATTTCGCGAAGATATAATTGATCTTGCAGGTTTCCCCTGAGCCACACTCATATGAATCCAATGCGACATGCTCTTCTTTCTAGCGGGGCCGTAATCTGTTTGGGGCCCTAAGCCCTAAACCCTAAACCGGGGTGGGCGCATAATGCCAGCTGATTCTCACAGATGCCGCTTAGCTCTGCCGCCACTTTGCTCTGTCGATTCTTGAAGAATTGTAGTCCCCCTTAACCCTTAACCACAGAGAATATGGGTATATGGGATTCTTATTATGCTTTTGGTCAACTCCAAAAGAAACCAAAAAACTCTATCTACTTAGGGGGACTATGAGCCCTTCTCTGATTATCTATGGGTTCACACTGCTGCATACCTCTGGTTTCACTATTCATCCCCACACGAACAAGGGATCTTCGCTCCCCTCATGAAAACCATGAGATGAGAGAAGATGCAGCCACCCAAGCTTGTCATCTGGGTCCCCTAAACCCTAACCCTCACCCAGACCCTCCTATGTAGTTCCATTTTGGGTAGTATATTATAATCCCTTACCCAAAAACCATAACAAACCCAAAAAGGAACTACATTGGAGCCCTTGGGTAAACCCTACGAGAAGAGTGGAGTCCCCCAGCCAGCATGTTTTAGGGGATCCTGTTGGGCAAATCCTCACTTCTTGAAGGCCGGAACACCTATAACTTAATCCCCCTTAAGTAGATAGAATATGGGGAGAATGGGGATCTTATTATAACATACCCAAAGCCATATCCTATCTGCTCAAATAAACCATATTGTGAACATCTTCTTGCCAACTTTTTTCCGCGTTCATGTTGAAGCAGGGTAGAAAGGCTCCTTCGTCTCTGTGATGGGGCGCAAGTCGGCATAAGATCAGATGCTACATGAGCTACGGACTAAATCTAGGTTGGGGGGGGACCTTTTGGGGACTATATAGGGTTTTTGGGGGGACCTATTAAGAGGGATATACTGCAAGCTTAGTCCAGGGCTCATATGAGAACTTCGACATAGTAAGACATCGTGCCCTTGACATCAGCATGGATTGAAGTGCTTGTCACACCGCCGGCCCAAGATTGCAATTGCATGCCTAGGATTTAGCTTTTTTTGTGGGGCTTAGGGAGGAGGAGTTTTTTGATGTTGCATCAAACACGTAGGTCTCAATGGAGGCTACCTTCCGCCACAGATGGCACAGGAGCCCAGCAACACCAACACAAGACGTGAACACAAGCCTTCCCTAACAGCTTCAGGTTTCCATTGCATTTCAGACCCAAATAGTTCCTATGAAGGAACTTTGGAGCTCAACAATCCGCCAAATAAGAAGTTCGACTAGAAGCCTGGAACCAAAACACGAAAACCGAACCCTCAAAGACAACTTCCGGCCCTTTCGTAGTCTCCTCTTCCTTTGTGGCCCTGCAAAGACTGCGGGCTTTTTCATCTCGGAGCCTTCTGCTTTTGCAGCCATGGCGCCCAAAGTTGCGAAGAATGAGTCCTTCCTGGCAAAGCAGGAGTCCTATGGGTAGGTACTGTTTACTTACTGGGAACATGGGAGTATAATCCCTATATACTCTCTATTTGGTATTTTCCCTCAAGTTTAGGGCTTCGGATTCAGGATTTAGGGTTCAGGATTCAAGGGTTTAGGGCGTTGATTCCAAAATCCTCAGGTGGTTTATGCCTCGAGAATGCCTGGACTTCATACAGAGGTTTGAGTATCGACAGTAGGGTTAAGGTCATTCAGCCTTCAGGGCAACTTGCTCATCTTCGGTAGCAACAAGCCTTGTGCATTTTCCAGTTCCTTCGCCCTGGATTGAAGGGAAGATCCCTTTACCCTAAACCCTATACCCCTAAACGCTAAACCTTAAACCCTATACCCTATACCCCTAAACCCTAAACCCCTAAAACCTAACGAAAAGCTTCGGGAGGATCAGCGGCTCCTCCTGCATTCCTAAACTCTGACGCCTAAACCTACCGCCCAAACGTCTAATCCTGAAAGCCAGAGACCCACAAATCCCTGAAACCTGTTTAGGGTTTAGGGCTTCGGGTTTAGGGTTTAGGGAAACCTTGACTGTAAAATCTTAATTCCCCAAACCCTAAACTCTAAACCCAAACCTTACCTTGAAACCCCCAAATCACTGAGATAGCTCAACCTTGGAAGCCCAAGCCCCAGAAACCTGAGCCCCCAAAATCCCAAATCCCGAAAACCTTAGCATCAAAATTCCCAGTCCCTGAAACCTCACCTTAAGGGTTCATGTACCCAATATCTGGGTACTTAGCGTTCGGGCAATAGAAGGTCTAGTACAGACTTTGGGGAACTATATGATAAATCCAAACCCTAAACCCTAAACATCAAAATTTTAAATCCCTGAAACCTAAGCCTTCAACTTCTAAATCCCTGAAGTCCCCAACCTTAAAGCTCAAATTCTCGCGGCAGGAGCGCCTCAAGAAGAAGCAAGAGGAGGAAGAGACCTTCCAAGCCACGGCCGAGGATATCGAGAGGGTGCCTCGGTCAGCAAAATCATGTACATAAGGATATGGGGGTTTCCCAAAATTAGGGGTACCTCTTTGGGGGTCCCCATAATAAGGACTGTAGTATTTTGGGGTCTATATTGGGGTCCCCCTATTTTGGGAAACTACCACATACGAAAATGAAAATTCTCAAATTCTGGTTAAAGTTTAGGCTTGAGGGTTCAGGGATACACATATAATGATATGGGGCGTTCCCGAATCAAAGGTTGGGGGTCTCTATAATAAGGACTATAATGTTTGGGGTTTATATCGGGGTCGCCAAGGATGTCGAAGCTATGGTCAGTCTTGGGTACCACGTATATACATATATATATATATATGTATCCTATAGATACACATAGAAAGTGCCGTAGGTGGTTATTAGGAGGAACTTCCATGCCCGCAGAATACAGCAAAAGTTGGTACGCTCGGTGATCGTCGACGAGGCCTAGCAAGCATGCAAGTGGTCTCAGTAGATGAGGAGCGTAGATTTCAATCTAGATTGCAGGGTGTGTAGAGCGTCTGCAGGTCATGGTCTGAATTGCATAAGGTTTATACCCTAAGGGTCCAAGTACCTAATAGTCATATACTTACCCAAAACCTGTACTGAAATTATTATTACCCAATACCTGATTATTGGCGACTTGGACCCTCTGGGATATGTTTAAGATCTTCAGCGTGCAGGTTTCTTCAAGGCACAGCCATAGCAAGCGCAGATTGGCCGTTTCACTTTATATTACAAGAACATGCCAGCAGTAGGCAGAGCAAACCTCAGTCGCTCAGAACTGTTTGTTGTAGAAGGCAGGCCTAGTCAGAGGCGTCATTGCACTGCGGCGAACGCACCAATGTCCTTACGGATTACAATGGGCGTTGGTATCAACACGACAGGGTGATGATAAAAAGGGCATTCTTTGAGCTATTGGTGCCTACCACCTAAAACTGGACATGCCCTGTAAACTCTAATTTCTCAACCCCAATACCCAGACAGCCAAGGAAATGGCCGAAGAGATCAATGCCCAAGCGGAGAAGAGTAAATTCAAGACTCCTGCCTGGGCATCCTGGCATGCCAGAATCATTGGAAGGTTGTCAGAGTTATGGTCTTTTTTTTTGGGTTTCCAAGTATCGTACGTAGTAGGGCCTCTTATATGTAGCGAAACCCAGAAGGGACTTCGATTTGTCAACCCACGTAACTCGGTTGTAGGACATATTTGGTGTTGCCGACGCTTTAACGGGGGTGTCAGGAAACTCATCGCTGGTGACTGTGGCATCACTTTGTGCTGTGGCAACTTTGGAAGTTCTCTGCCCTTAGAGATGCTATTAGGGTTCAGCAGCTAGGTGTAGGTGGGGACAAACCCAGGTTATATCTTACAGCCCGGTACGCCTACCAATTTGGATAACACAAGTGTTTCGCAGTTGCCTACCTCGCTCAGAAGATATTGGCCCATATTTGCCGGCATGGGTGGTCAGGCGCCATTTTTAGGCCCCGAACGCAGGAAGATGCCTAGGTGCAGTAAGAGCATTTTGGCAAACCCAACCCCACAAATTAGGACCCTCTAGCCACGATATGCTTCTAAAGAGTAGGCTCCCAATTTTGGGACCCCAACCAAAAATAGGATCCTATACCATTTGCCTATGGCTGCATGATACGATCCTGCTATTAGGTGGCAAACTTCCTTTACCCAGACCCCTAAAGTATCCTAAAAGTGGAACCCCCCAAAATGACCCCCATTACTACATTGGGGAACCTAGGGAATTATGAAGGGGTTCAATTTTAAACCCCAAACCCTAAACCCAAACCCTGGGTATTGAGGTGAATATCACCGCAGCTCTCGTGGGTGTCCTGCAGCTGGGTTATAGGATCGAACAGGAGCGAGAGAGACGCAAGGACTTCCGCCAGCGGGAGGAGGGGAGGTAGAGGTAGGATTCAGGTGTGTTTGGGCACAGGTTTTCTAATTTGAGAAGGAACTGGGTCTTCATACATTTCCACTTAGAGGTAGAATTCAGGTGTGTTTGGGTTTAGCGTTTAGGGTTTAGGGTTGGGTCTTCATGGAGTTTCACGTTCATGAAGTTCTGCCACATAGTATCGTGTGTCAGAACACTTGGTTGGCACAGGTCGGCCTAGGTTTAGCTCCAAGCACAGCATCCACATCTAGTCCCTGAATCGTGCCAACGGGACCCAGACACCAGTTCCATCTTGCGCTTGAGACGCCTAAGCCTCTCACAAGACTGCGAATTAGCATTCAATCCACTAAACCCTAAATCCTAAACCCTAAACCCTTAACCCTAAATCCTAAACCCTAAACCCAGGGGGTTCATGCTCAAAATGAAATGTTCTTAAAACAGCGGGCCTTGAGCCATCCTAGGGATATATGGGGAGCCTAAGTGGATTACAGGGGTCCCTATAGACAGATGTGTATAGGGTTTAGGGTTTAGGGTTTAGGGTTGGGAATAGCTTCAACATGCCCACGTTATGCGAATTGAGTATGCTCGCCTGGGCACGCACTATTCGAGGTACCTGTGGCTTGCCCTTGCACGCACATTGGATTCTACAATCTGCTACCTGATCCATTTTGGGGCTCATAAGCAGTTCCTCTTGGGTTGGTATACCATAATTAATTACCGAACAACACCAACGAAGAACTACATGGGAGCGTCTGAACTTGTTCTTACAGATGGGCAATTTCAATTTCATAGGGCTTTCATTGGTGCAGGGGCCAGAACGCGGGTTTCCCTAAACCCGAAGCCTTCAAACCATAAACCCTGAACCCTAAAACTCTAAACCCCAAAAGCCTAAAACCCTAAACCCTAGAGCCCCCAAACCCTCAAACCCTAAACCCTATTTCAGGACGACTACTTTGCCAACCCTCGGCCCGAGATCTATACCTTCGTGGCCTCCATGTCCTTCGAGGCCAGGGATGGGTTTGGATACCTGGGTAGGCCCCTGGGATATTTCATATTTTCCTTAATGGCTTTAATAGGGGACCATATATACTAAGATTTTTCGGTTTTAGGGGCCAACCTAGATACGGGTTTAGGGTTTTTAGGGTTTAGGGCGTTTAAAGTTTTGGTATTAGCGTTGAGGGTTTTGGGTTTAAAATCTAGTGTTGAAGGTTTACGGTTAAAGGTTGAGGGTTAGAGGTTTATGGTTTAGGGTTTAAGGTTTAGGGTTGGAGGTTTACGGTTTAGAGTTTAAGTTTTAGGGTTCAGGGTTCAAGGCTAGGGTTCATTCCCTGCCCCATCATAAAAAAAAAAACTCCCCATCCACCCAATGGTGTTTTACCATTGTGCCATTTTATGCTACACGGGGAATATGTTATAACAGTGAGGTCGTGGGGAGTATCAATACCAGCAGGGAGGATTACGAATGCTGAGCTAGGAATGGTCGCACAAATCTTTGTAGTACAGACCACTACATAACCTTGATAGCACTCCTTATGGCAGTGACAAGTGTAGCCCACTCCAGTGCCACTATCCCAACGAAGCATGATTACCGCTCTCTGCAACTTGCATGGAACTCCTGAAGCCAGTCATCCAAAGGACCGTAGTGTTCACAGGACTCCTCTTGGGATTCTGTATTCGAGAGAACCGTGCAGGGTTTAGGTTTAGTGTCCAAAGGATGAGGAGATATGGTAGTTTCCCTACATAGGCGGCCCCAAAATAAACCGCAAAATAGTATACTCCTTATATAATGGGAAGTCCTAAGGAGGTACCCCTAATTTTGGGAAGCACCCATATATCTGTTGGATTATTTAGGCGTTTCGGCTTAGGGATTATATAAGGTCTGGTGCTTCATCTGCTGTAGATTGGCATCCGGTTTAGGGTTCATGGTTTAGGGTTCAGGGTTTAGTGGTTGAATACAACGGTTTGTTTTTCTATTAACTTCCCAAGATGAGTTCACAATAGAAAGGGTACATCTGATTAGACTCCATTAAGGAACCAGAAGAGCTTAGAGCTTTTAGCGGATTTGAGCTGCAGGGATCATGTCCTATGAAGGCCTTATGGATCACCCCAAGTCTTCAGCCACATGTGGGATTTTCCGTGCATTAGGCGTCCCGTCTTGGGGTTCCTCATAGTAAGGATCATCGTCTTTTGATGTCTAGTTGCAAGGCCCCTGTCTGGCATGTCCCAAAAGTTGCTGCGATATCTGCTCTCCTCATAAGTACATGTTGCCACCTTAGTGGACAAACCTGAATATGTTAGTATCTTCAGATTACCTTGGTTGAGAACCCTTTGTGTTTTGTTTTAGACAGGCTAGTATCTCTGTCAGTGGGGCTTCTGTTTTGTTGGGGAAAATGTATGGCTCTGCATTGAGGTACATCTACTACACACGTCAATGTCTCTGCTCACATCAATTCCACCCGGCGAGCCCAATAGCCCTTGACTATGGAATATACCCAGAATCCTGCTAAGACCCCTGGGCAAAGCATCCAAGGTCGGCATCGCATTTCTCATTGCCACTGGGCTGGACTGTCGTTGGATTTCTGCCACAGGAGTCTCCCTGACCCCTTAGCCCGAAGCCCTAACTTGCCAACCTTCAGGCGCAGGGTGCCTTAAGTTTGTGCCCATAGCCGCTGCCTTGAGGATTGTGAAGCGCAACTCTGGGGCACGGAGTCTACAGGTACTACCGACTTCGGGCTTACACCTTGGAGGAGTATCAGAGCTGCCTTGTTGTTTTAAAAAATCTGCATGAGCAAAGTGTTCTAGAATGACATAGTTCCGAAGGTACACGGTGCTTCGCAGCATGCATTGTGCTATCAACTCTAGTTCAGCTCGTGTATTAGGTAGCACATGCATCCCCTTCCCACTGATAGCGCTCATAATTCATAGCGAAGCACAAGAATTGGAGGTGATTGTGTTGTGGTCCTTATGAAGAAAGCTCAAAATTCCAAAGTGCAAAATCCGGATTTCAAGAGTATTGAGGCCCTTACATTTGCTACTGCCCTAAGCCTGGGGTTAAGGGTTTAGGTTCATGAGCAGGAATATACGAATCCTTAACAATCCCCCCCATGATGGCATTCTGTCTGGCTGGGGCAGTACCCGCCGCTACATGAACTATAGTCTAAACTTCTAGTATCCCCCTTAACATCCCCAATAGCAGTCCCCTATATAACCCCTAACATAACCCCTTTAAGGAGTTTAGACTCTAAACCGTAAACCCTAATCCCTAAACCCTATATAGTCCCCTATACTATAGTAGTTCCCTTATACTACGCCCCTTTAAGGAGTTTAGACTACAGCTCACATTGAGGTCCTCAACTGTATCATTCTGGGATGGCAAGTATCGCTCCCAGAGGAAAATGATCAGGAGCCTTGGTGCAACATAGATTATGGTTTGAGGGTTTAGGGTTCAGGATTTGAGAGTTTAGGGTTTAGGCGTTTGAGCCTTGGTGCAACGCGGGTTACGCTTTGAGGTTTGCTAACAGTGTTAAGGGTTCAGCGCTGAGGGTTTAGGTGTTTGGGTTCAGAGTTTGGGTTCCAGGGATGCAGGGCTTTGGTGCGGAGAGGGTGGAGTTTTGGTTTACGGATTGAGGTATATGTCTATCACGCTTTACCGGGCACGAAGTAGGCAAGAAAGACTTTGTCAACAGCTTCCCCTTGGATGCACCTCTTCTTTGTTCCTTCGTTGCCCTAAATCTTAAACCCCAAGCCGTATGGTCGGTCCGTGGATTCTACGGATGTGAGGCAACAAAATGTACGGGCCTAAGCTGTCCTAGATTCCGTGCATCATCATGGTATAGGGTACCTCGAACAGACCTCAAACTCATATTAGTTTTTCTGCAGGCACCTAGCTTAAAAGGTCTGGGCATTCTGTTTTCAACCATGCCCCAGGCTAGCATGGACCCTCAACAGAAGTCATAACAAAACTGCTGCCCGTACAAAAATGTCGAGGGTAACTCTTGCTTATTTGGGAAGGGGTTGTGGGTTATAGGGACTGTCACGAGGACTGTTATGAGGATTACATGGAGGTTGCAACCGAGATCCATTCCCCCGTTCCCAACTCAGCATGGGTAAGTTCTCGCTACGCTTCTTCATAAGCATGTAACCCGCAGGGCTCAAGTACCCGATAATCAAGTCGAATGCTTCCTCCCTATGCGCCCTAAGCAAGATCCCAAGTAAGCTAGAAGTTTGACAAGTCAGGGCGAAGGTAGTCCCTTGCAATCCCCACGCAAGTAGCGCATCATGTCCCCATACTCTTCTGATCATGCAAGCCCCGACATTGATCCGAATTCGGGCGCGGGAAGGCTTAGGTAGAAGTGGTACTTCTCCAAAACTAGTACGCCCTAACTTGGTATCACAGTGTTGACAACTTCTAGTGCCATCTGCCGAATTAACCCTACAAAGCTTCTGGACATCCTCTCATATCCTTCCGAAGGCTTCCGGATTTCGAAGGTGCAACTATGTGACATCCTCAACCCCAAGCCATATCTAGTTGCTACCTAGACCTTGCATGTCCACATTTGGTTGGTGGGTATATTCTACCAAAATATGGGACAGAACCCGCACAAAGGAAGGACAATCAGGGTCCACGTGAATTTCCTGAACCCCAAACAGGTCTCTAAGCCCTTAACCTAAACCAGGTATCCCTAAACCCTAAGCCCTAAACAGTTCCCTAACACGGACAGGTGAACCTTTCATGCTAAAACGAGGCAGTTTTCTTTGACGTTACTGAGCACATCTTCGTGGGCCTCTTCCTGTTTGAGTGGAGCCTGCGTGTGATGGCCTTCGGATGGGTCTGGAGCCTCGCAGGCAAAATGTACAGATACCAGTTTGGCCTGTTTTTTGCAGGGTTCAGGTACACCTCAGAAAGTTGAGGCTTTTTGCAGGTTGAGGCTTCATTGTTTGTGGCCTATGAGGTAAATACTCACGCTGAGAAGGATTTGTGTGCAAGTGCTCAGGGCCTAGCGCTTTCTGTGGCTTGAATGCGGCAATGATGTTGATGCCCACGAACTGCGACTGTGCTGTCAGTACTCGCCCTTTGACGACTATGTGCTTGCATCCATTACTTCTGTGTAGGAGCTAGGCAGCTTATGGACAGCCAAGCTACGTTTTTGACTTGTTTGGACGCAGACTACCAGCAGTTCCGGACAGCCTTGCTGACACAGGGCTGATAATCCATGAGGCCGGTGGCAGTGCTATCCCTGAGTGTCCGACTACTCCCCCAAAAGTGCTTCGGGTCCCACATATTTTAATCTGAATGGGTTTTTAGGGAGGGTTTAGGGTTTAGGGTCCCTAAACCCCAAACCC